AAAGGTTTTTTTCTTTTTCTTAAGAAAATAAAATGTTTTTAACTAAATTTATTAAATTTTTATCAAAACATATATAAACAATAATGACGCAAAGGAAAAATTTTAATTTATGTTTATTTTCTGCCTCAAAGCTAAAGGTTGTTAAACTAACTTATTTTAAAAGTTATCGAATTATATTTCCTTTTAAAAAATCATATTCTTTATTTTTGAGACCACAAACAGACTATATCTTAAAAGATATTTGAGAAAATTTCTAAGATTTTTATGTATATGATTTATATGTAATTCTTTGTTATTTTATACTTACATAGGATTTTTACATTTGGGCAATACATCTTGAAATTTTAAACAACGGTTTCGGAAAAATCATTCGTCCCCATAAAATAAGCCAAAAGTATATAATGATTTTAATAAGTCCAGCTAGTGTCATTTCATAAGAATATTTAATATTTCTAATTAGACATATCGTGTTTAAATGCATTTTTATTTAAATCAATCCGATTAAATTTAGGAAAATTATTCTTAAGAGCTACGTTTACTGCTTTTAAATTCCTTGATTTGCCACTCAATACCATAAAAATTAAATTCGAAAGTTAAATATCTAACTCTTTACCTGAATGGCCGCACGCAGGGACGTTGAGATAACAAGTATTCTATTTGAGATAGTGGCAACGCATTACTTTCAAACAGCCAAGCTGCAACTCAATAAAGAAAGATCAAATCTGAAAGTTAAGTATCTTATGCTTTATACTGAATGACAATATATTGGTGCTTAGGAATAATATGTATTTAATTTGAAGCAGTGGCATCGCATTGGTTTCAAACACGGAAATTTGTGGATTCAAATTGAAATGTAAATATATGACTTAACCTATGACATTTTGGTAAATGTCTGGTGCCCCAGAGATAAATATTTTACTTCGAAAAGTGTTGCCACTCCTCGCTTTCAAATAGCTGAGAATTTTGCATAAAAATTGGTTACATTGGTATAAAATAAGAATTAAACCAAAAACAAATTCGAAATTCTATGTTCGGGTGGAAGATTATGTGTAATAAAAATTCGGTGGCTCTAGGTGCCTTCGATTTTCCACAGTGCAAAGAACACACATATATACAGATTCTTCATTATTTGTTTTTAAATAAAACACGGCGATAACATTTAGTGGCAACAATTTAAGAAGTGATTAGGACACAAAAGTGATACGAACAAAAAGGGAATTTCCCGAATAATAACACTTCTGATGCTGATAATTATATGTTAAAGTTTGTAAGTATGCGTAATTATACCGGACAAAAGTTCACTGCGTACACGAAAGTCCTTCCCAGGTCTTTGCTTTCGCAACCGTTGGTTGTAGATATGCAGAGTGGTCATCGAAAAACTTTCCCGACATATGAACTCCTAGCGATCAACTAATCAAATATCAAACAACAAAAATGGGCTGAGATATTTAATTTCAAAATTTGAGATATTTGAAGTCATTTTGAATTTGAAATGATGGGGACATTAATAAATAAATTAGGATAATTCAAAGTTGATATGCCCTTTCAGATAATGTTTATAAACACAGCTTGGTAATTCTCGAAAGTATTACCCAAATAGTACTTGCGGTTCAGTACACATTTCAAGTTCTAATTCGAAAAAAACTCAAAAGATATACTAGACATATTTTTTTCTTTTTAATAACGCGAACAATTTGCGTAACTCTACGAACATTACTGTAGATGTTTCAATATGGGAATCTAATGAAAATTATCAAAATATCAAACATAATTATCTAAAACAAACATGGAACATTTTCACACACGACATACAGTTCAAACAAAAGTTCAAGACTTCATTGCTGTTGCCAAATTAGTAATCAAAACAAACCAAATGAAAAAAAAAATTGTGAACATCTGAACGCCGTCTCAAGAGCAGAAGAATTTACAAAAATGCCCTTCAATGATATTCTTTCGTGAATTACTACTTTCTTTATTTACAGTTTTGCTATATTTGGTATACCGAAAGAATTTTCACAAAAGTAAAAATTTATACGTTTTCTATGTCCTTAAAGTTATTAAGATTTCATGTTCATTAAAGTGCAAATATTTTTCATTTTTAATTCGTTTCTTAAAATATGCTAAACTTATGTTTTTACGATAACTATTATTTTGCTTTCGTATTGCAGTACTTTATTTTCCTGTTTTTGCTCATTAAATACGAATGAAAACGATTTTTATTTATATCTGCAAATAAATAATTGTCTTACAGCAGGTTCAAAATCAACTCCATTTGATGGAGATAATTCAGTTTTAACATTGTTTTCTTTAAATGAAACAAAATGGGGAGGGAGGCAAGTTGGATCCCTGCTACAGGCGTTGCATACTTTACCTACGTCACTGCGTGCCAGTATGGAGCCTGCCAGTATTTTCTGGAAAGTGAATACTGTCAGATTTTGTGGAATGAGTTCTCCGTTTTAAAAAAAATTATACTGATCAATATTTTTCGAATAATCTGCAAAGAAATGCTTGTTACGTAATCTCTCAACGTCATAAACGTTTCCTAAACAACCTTTTATTTTGCTCAGGTACAAATGCAAACATTCTGCTCTTCTGTTTCTTTACTGCACTTGAATATGATTCCCGAATTTTATATCAAATTATTTTATAATTTATATTTATACCCAGAGGCTTTGAGTTAAGGTCTATTATTCTGTTGTTAAGCATCGCAGGCTACCAGTCTGCTTTTAGAATTAATTCTACTAACACAAATTTTTGTCTTTTTAGCTTTATTATTAAGCTTTATTATTTATTCATATTATTGTTCTCACTTATGCCAAATACAGTTCAACAGCAAAATCACAAAACTTTTAAAAGCAAAAGCAGTATAGCAATTTAAAAGCAGTATACGTGTAGAACTCCAGATATAGTGTTAAATATTCGCTTATTTTATATATATATATATTTTTTACTTTTTCAGTCTTTTCTATATTTATCGTTTCAATATTCAGTTCTTTTAGCAAGATGGCTTACAAAACTTTCTTTTGCCTTTAGTGTGCTGAACATTATCTATTAAATATCACGTTCACTTACGCGGCATAAAATTCAAAGGCAAAATCCCAAAATATTTAAAAACATCATATCTTCAGAATTCTCGGTAGAATTAGGGGTTGCTATACATTTTTTTTTATATTCGCTTCATTATTTCTTTAATTACTAGCAAATGGCGCAAACTAAAATAATTATCATAAAAAAAGAAAAGAGTATATAATGATTTGAATGAGTTCAGCTGTATCATTTTGTAAACACATTTAACATTTCTAATTAAACATCTTATGATTTTATTGAATTTTTATTTAATCAATTACATTAGAAAGTAAAAAAATATATTCTTAAGAACTGTGTTTATTGCTTTTAAATTGCTTAGTATATAACCAGGGCGCCATAATTCTAAGCGTCGTTCACTTCTTGAGTATTTTATCCTTCTCCTTTAAAACTAGCATTAGACTGAAAGTATGTGTGTTGGTATTATAATAGAAAGCGTTTTTGCTAAAATGCATTTATGTTTTGTTAGTTATATCATCAAAAGAAAGAAATACCAGACTTACAAAAGTCAGAAGACAAAACATCTGACATACCGTTAACACTTACCATTCACTGTTTGTCTATTTCAATATCATTAAAATGTTGTTTTTCCTTCCATGTTTATGTCAATAACGGTTTTTCTAACAATCTTTATATGAACCTTTTCTTTTTGTTACCAGTTTTTTTTATTTTCCGAACTCCTTCTTGTCTTCTCGTAGCTACATTTCATTTTATGCTTGCCTGTTATTTACGAACACTATATTCCCTCCGGCGGCCGCTAGGTGGCGTGCTTGAAAGCTGTGGGGTTACGTTAGTTTGTCTCACAGTAATCTTCCAGTCCAAATTTGAAAGTTAAATATCTTACGTTTGTCTAAATGGCAACAGCTCTGGCGAGTGGAAGATAAAAGATAAATGTCTTATTTCCAGCATTGCTTTCGAAAAGCCGAGTTTGTTAATTAATAAACTCGCTAATTCAAAACAATAAATATCTTAGATTTTTCTGAATGGTGACAGTCTCGATCGCCAGAGATGAAAATATTTCAATTCGAACAGTGTTGCTATTACTCGCTTTCAAATCGTTGAGTTTGTTTATGAAAATATCATGAATTTGGTACAAAATATGAAGTAAATAAAAAAAAAAAAAACAAATTCAAAATTCATGCTTAGCAGTGCGCATGCTTAGGGGGGACTGTATGTGTTGAAAGTCTGGTAGCTGTAGGTCCCGCCGTTTTTCCGAAGTGCGTGGAACGCTCAAACATACAAACTGTTACGTGCGTACGGGTTCCATATGAATTGAATGCACATAAAATCGATGACAGATGAATTTTTTTATCAAAAATAAACATTTCGCAGTTCTTGAACTTTTTACCAAAGTACTCGTACAGCTCTTCTCGGTATGACAGAGCCCAATCAGTTAGTTACAAATTCAAACTATTAAGAATGTTAAAACACAATCACTTCGTTGAGCCCTTTCCTTTCAATGCAAACAGCCTCAAATACATAAACTTGCACACATTAATCTCTCAGTATGCTCAGTACTCGAAGCTAAACTCTGAACGAAACTGAAAACTGGTGTTTTCGCCAGTATAGTTTTCCTCCTTCAGCCGAGAAATGTCCAGTACCTTATTTCTCGAAATTGCTGGAAAGCGTATACAGTTACAGTTACGTAGGAAAGGATCAGTTACAGTTATACAAGGATCGGACCAAAATGTCGTCAAATAACCTTCTAAATTTAGCGACAAAAACTAATCGCCAGAACCATCGACAGACAGGCGAGAAAACCATTTACCGCAATATTAAATGGACTTACCCCTGTATCCTTGCTTTTTCAGCAACGCTTATCGCCTTTCATGTTGCATTTTACAAGAGATACTAAAATTTACATATAATTTCATCAAAATTATTTACATATACACAAAATTTGTAACGATGCATACCTGCTGATTCTTCATTATTTAGTGGTAGAGAAATGGGGCTATAAATTTTTCCGTTATCAAAATTTGTCTTTCAATGCACATTTTGCTAAATATTTCTCCTCTTCTTTGATAATATCCATAAAAATTATTAGTTAAATTTTCGGATAAAACTGCTTACAAACCGCAAAGTGAAAGGTAAATTTTCAATTAAGAGTTCGCGAACTTTACGATTACCCGTTCGAAGGACGCGTCGTAATAGAAAAGCAAGGGATTTCCCTTTCGTTTCGGTCGGCTGGCGACGCGCAGTGAAATCTCAAGGTGAAGTCATTTATCCAAGAAAACGCGTGTTTTATACAACAGCATTCTACCTTGCTTTGTTACATTAAGTGACAGAAGAAAGAAAGATATGTGCTTGTTATGACTGATTTCTTCTCAAAAGAAAATCCACATGTTAGCCGCTGTTGGAAATTTAAGAAAATAACTCAGGCATACCAGAATACTTTTGAAGAATTTTTAATTAGCTACGTCTCTTGATTAAATGTTATGAAATATAAATGATTTTGAAATTAGAAACGTTTTTAAGGGAGTCTTTCTAAATTTTGGATGTCTTTGTATTATGTGCAATTTATCTTTCACACTTAGATAATGTAGTAACTATTTTTCCTTGAACACTTTTTTCCCTTAGTTCTGTAGCGCCAGGCTAATATTATATAAATATATATATATAATACTAAATATATTCGCGTCATTTTCTCCTACCTGGATGAGAAAGAGCTTCCTTAAATTGTAAAATGGATTCATTTACGCAGAGATTTTTTTCTTCATACTGACGAAGATAAACCCTCACCAACTACCCACGACAGCTTTCCCTTCTTACTTGATGTGAACTTGATGTGAACCTAATGTAAGAACCGACCTATTACGGCGAAGCAAACACAAACTGACACTGAGTCCACGATTTCTCCGAGTCGATTGCACATTCAGCTTTCCTAACTACTTATAGATGATTTGAGACCTAAGGAGATAGCAGAGACGACAATAAGAACGGGAGCCATTCAAGTCAAGGGAGGTAAAAATGAAGATGTCTTGTTCGAAATACTGAAATTTTATTATTACTATGCGTTCTTATCGGAATGTAGATTTCTTTTAAGCCGCCCAGCGGGGATATTGATTAGCAAATTTGACTGCCGTACTGAAGGGTGCGTGTGCGAATCCTGGAAAAGGCATGGATGTTTGTAAATGTATAGTGTCTCTGCGGCATGGAGCACTCTAAATATGCGGCGAACCGAAAGTCTTCTCGAGAATTGGTGGTAAGGGAAGAGGAGTGGGAGACCCTCGGAACCATCCTCCTGGGCGCTGTCCTTCAAAATTGGGTCGAAAATGAGCATACAAGTCGTACTATCACCTGTATGGTGCTCAAGGCTGTTGCCAACCAACAGGCTCATTTTGCACTCGTTGCCACTATGGATTTCGTCGGCTTGTCCTGATGTTACTGTTACACAAATGAGATAAGTCACAACACAGGTTTCTTTTAAAGAAGTAATATTGTGATACTTATCTTCAGTTTATCAGCGATTATTTTTCATTTGTTATGTTCTTATTGCAAGTGCATCCTTCGGCAATTGTATGATGCGCATAATTTTTCCTGCTCGATTTCCATACTATAAAATTAGTAAACAAAAGGGGGAAAATACGTGAGGAAATATGGTATTAATGTGACCAGACAAGTGGGGTAATGGATGCAAAAGAACATTGCTTTATTTTACACGTAAATTCCCTAGGAGGTATTTCTTAAAGTGTTCGCACTCAAAAAAACATACAATCTTTATTAATCTTAGTTTGATAAATCTATAACTGCTTGAAAAACTTAACCTTTTTAAATAAAATATCATAGTAATTCCTATATCTATTTTATTTCTTTAAAATTATAGTCAATTTATAAAATTTAAATGCATTTCATTTACAAAATATCCAATAGATACTTTCGAATGTTGGCAGTGTTATTTTATTCAATAAAAGGTGCGGGAAATCTCCCGAAATTCTCTACAATAGCTCACTCAATCAGTTCACATACATAGAATCTTAACTGCACAGAATCGACATTAAGTAAAATTGACATCGCCTAAAATCGACATTAAGCAACATCGGCACTGCACAGAAGCGATACTATACAGCATTGAGAATCCCTAGAACCTACATTACAACGGAACCGACACTGTATAGGATTTACTCTACAGGGAATTGACACCACATAGAATTGGCATCACGTAGAATCAGCTCTGCATAGAATCGACACTGCATAAAATCTACACAGAAATATCGATACTGAGTACAGTATACACTACACAAGATCGATGCTGTGTACAATACATGCCACAAGGATCAACAATGCATAGAATAGACATTGTCGACAAAGGAACGACACGGCGTAGTATCAATACTGAGTAGAATCTAATGTAAGCAGGATCGACTCTGCGTAGAATTGAAACTACACGGGATCGACATCGCATAGAATCAACAGTACACAGAATCGATTGTGCATAGAATCTAGAGTGCAAAGAATAGAAACTGAATAGAACCTACACTACAGAGGATCGACAACTGCATTAAATCGAATTTACACGCTATCCACACCACCTAGAATCCACAGCACGAAACATCGGCCCTGCATAGCATCGAATCGACGTGGAATTGTCATTAAACTACAACCGATACTCGTCACCGGCATTCAACCGACAGTGTAAAAGTAAAGTAATAATAAAATAAGAGGATTGATGTGTATATGCAACATACTTAGAGTTGTTAAAGATATCGGATTTGACATCGCGTAGAGTCGAGACCAATATAACAACGACATAAATACAGGACTGAAAGTATATGGAATCGACACCGACGTACGATAGATATTTACAATAGATGTAAGCGAACGAAATTTTATAACAAGAGGGATAATCAGAATTCGAATAAAAGTAATTAATAATTAGTATTAGAGTACGTGCGTAAGATCGATAGTGGCACTAGTCCGCATTCCCACTCTTGATAGTGGCTCTAGGCCTCATTCCCAATCTTGATAGTGGCACTATTCCGTATTCCCAACCTTGAGTGGCACTAGGCCGTATCCCCGTTTGCTGGGATTTGGACCGAACGACTAGCATTCGGCAACTTTACCCCTCGGCTGTTGATGGGCCTTCTTTTGCGCTGACGGAGCCAGGTTTGTACATTACTTTCTTTACGGTTTTGATAATAAATAGACCTTTTCTTCTGTTGTAGTCATTTAGGTAAATCCCTGCTTCGTTGAGCATCATTTCAATTTATCTCCCGCTAAATAGTTTAATATAGGATTCTGAAAATTGTCTGCGTTAAGACATCTGTCTCAGCAAAAGCTAGTGAGCATTATGTTTTTATGTTTTTTAGCTTTTTTAAGCTCTAAATTTTCATTTATTGTTTTATTTATTGTTGCTACAGATGTATTTAAAGATTTGCAATTAATTTCAGCATCGACAGATTTTTTCTCCTTTAACTTTAGAAACAGTAAGTGCCTTTTTCTGGTATCGTTTGCAGTCTTTTTTCCATGTGGAAGTAATGACTGGCGGTTTTTTCATTTTCGACTAGTAATGCTGCTAATTTTGCACTTAGAAATTTTAATGTTATGCAGTTCACAAAGTTTTTGAATTTAAGAATAGGAATATTTCTCTTCGGAAAGGTCCAAAATATATCTTGCAATGCACAGTTTGTTTGCACTCGACATTTTGAAAGAAGAATCGATGTAAATATAGTAAACGATATTTCTCATTTCAAGTAATAAGTTATTGCCAGAAAATTTTATTCCAAAACATTTGATTTCTTAAAAGAATGCGTTATTGAAATCGTTGTAAAAATGTGTAAACACCCTTTGTAGTAGGAAATGTCCGTCAATTATTTATTGTTTTTAACCTTGTCCTGTAATATATGACTTAAATCAACATTTTTGTAAGAAATGTTACATTTCGAAGCATTGATTTATGTTAAAGGCAAATATCACGTCCGTAACGCGTCATTACATCTGCAGTATTTCCGAAGAGGATTTATAGTATCATCTAGACGTATAAGTAATAAATCAAGTTAATTGTGCGCAGAATTGACGTCAATAACCAGTAAATTTAGGTAATCTTTTTCATTTATGTTTGATCAAATGGCATCAGTGCTGGTAACAGGCGAATCGTTGAAAGAAAATATTTTAAGATTTATCCTATCTCCGTTGTCAAATTTTTAAATTACATGGTATATCATTTGCATAAAAATATCATTACATGGTATATCAAATGCCAAAAAAATAAGAAATTGCTTCTGAGCCGAATACTCGATCTGCAAACAAGCTGACGGGCCATGTTTTTTTAATAATAAAATGAAAAATGTTTGCTACAATTAAAATTATTTTAACTAATTTTTAAATTTGATTTACTAGATGTATATTAAAAACATATATAAACAATCATACGTAGAAGAAGAATATAAAAGTTAAAAAATTCAAATTAATATTTATTTTCTATGTGAAAGCTAAAGTTTGGTACCTGGTAGACATTTCTGTTACACTTTGCAGTCCTACTGTACTGAAAGCTAAATAATATTAAATTTTCACCTTGACATTTATTTAAAATAATTCTAATATTTTAATCAAGCGTTATATGACTTAATTTAATTTAAATCATAAATAAACAAATTATGAAAACATTTCCAGTTTTCATAGAACATTCTCCGAGTGGAACAAAATTTGAAGATAAACAATAATAATTTTTAAAAAAAATCTGAAAGGTTTCAGATTTTAAATTACGTTCAAAGGGGCGTATATTTAAAATTTTGTGTGTTACCTTTATTTATTAAATATCACGTTCTTCGTACTTAAACCATAAAATTCAGTTCAATAGCAATGTCGCAAAATAATTTTAAAATGAGCGTATCTTTAGAATTTCCGATACACAGTTCCGCGCGCTGGACATAAAAAGGTTTTTTTTTTTTTTTTTTTTCCCGTAGAGTGCTGCCATTGTTCGCTTTTAAATCGTTGAGTTTGTTACTCAGAAATTCGTTAAAGTTTTACAAAATATGAAATCGATCATAAAACAAACTCAAAATTTCAAATTTGGTCTTCCACATGCCCATATTCGTAGGACGATTACGTCATTCAAAATTCGATGGCTCTACGTACCGTTGTTTTATCACAGTGCGAGAAATATT